GGTGCTTAGTCACAAGGATTTTGGGTCTTGCCAATGCTTTTTTTTCAAAGGCAGATGAAGCTGAGTGACAGGGGAGGGGGCCGGGGTGGGCTGCAGCTCCTGGAGCCCACGATGGCTGGCACAGGACCAGGCGCAGAGCGCCTCACTGGTGAATAGCGAGGAGGAAGAAGAGGTGCAGTGATCACTGTTCAGAGGCACTTGCTACAGCCATGTTTGCCTGCGTGTTTTTCCATCAGATGCTGCTACATCTCCACGTCCATTTCTGTGGCCTGCTCTGGCCAAGCCAGGCTGCACTCAGCTGTCACAAGGCCTTCTCCAGTCCCATCGCAGAGCAAACTGATCCCCTTCTTCACCAATCCCTTGCTATGGTGCCCTCTTCCTAGTCTCAGCCCTCTTGTATCTCCTCTTTACCATTTCCTTTCCTTGTCTCAGGTATGCTGCCAGCTCCTGAACCACAGTCCACTTTGAGGTGGGGTCTGTGATCTGTCAGATGCTTCCTCCTTAGCTCTTTCCATCTGCCTCAAGCTGCAGCCTGCTGGCCCAAGGTCGATGCTGCTGTTCCTCAGGGGCTGACTGTGCCAGCATCTCCCCTGTGAAGCAAGAGAAGAAACAAGCTGCTGTTCATTGCTTGGTTTCCACAGTAACAAAGATTTTTTTTGTTTCCTTCAAAAACACCTCCCCACTCCAGTTTGGAGTTCCTATCTCCACTACTTCTTACACGTTTCTGAGGACCCCAGAGATGGTAGGTCTACCCCTAGTTACCCTCAAGCTCTTTTGTGTGCTGATGCATGAAAGCAGGTTCCTAGGGCTGAGGGTACACACCTTTGCTGACTGCTGCTGTGCCGCAATCTATCTTTTACAAGGGGCGCTGCATGGGGCCAGTTACCTAATTAACTGCTCCTGTGTGTTTGGGAGGGTTCACGCTGATGAAGCCCAATTAGGGATCACATTACCGGTTCTGCAGGTGGTGTCCTCCCTCCTTTTTTTGGATGATGCAACAAAGAAACTGCACATTGACAAAGCCTAAAGGAATTTAGCAAGAGCCTTGCTGTGGTGGTTCCCAGAAAGGTGCCTCCTTGCTATCCTGCAGAGCTGGAAAAACATGTACCCATGCACTAGGACTAGGGGGAAGGAAGTCTTGCCTCACAGTTTGAGAAGCCTTAGTGAGCATTTCATTATCCCACTTTACATCTTCAGCTCATGGCTTGTTGAATCCATAAAACTGTCTTGCCCTCAGGCTCTGACATTTCACGGAGGTGAAAAAGGATCCACGGGTCTGTGCTTTGTAATTTAGGCTTTGCATAAATAATTTCATTGTAGTCTGCTACACTGACTTCAGAAGGCTCAAGAAGGCTCAAAACCAGAACTGAATTCATCAGGCTTGAGGCATACACTTTCTGTAGCTGATGGCACATGGAGGAGAGACGTGACTAGCATCATGGTTGGCCACCCTAGGCACTGCAGCTAGAAAGTCCATCAATAGCTGGGTGACCCAACAGCAGCTTTTGTCATGAGACGTAAACAGGGCACAAACTCGCATGCTTGGCTCCCACAGCTCTGCTCTGCCACTCCCCATTGCTGCTACGTGACTCACAGGCAGCTCAAAACCTTCCCTGATAAAAGTTGTGCAGAAACAAAAAGAAATACAGCAAACAAGAAGTAATAGAATAATTTTAAAAAATCAAACAAACAAACAAAAAAACCCCAACCTTTAGAAGAGCCAATATAAAAATTCCCTAACTTTTATTAACCAAAAGGGACAGCATGGTGGGATAAAAACTGGCACCGGTTTTCTATGTGAATCGCTGCATTTCCAGCACAACATGTCCTCCTGAACGAAGCTTGCAAGGCTCAGTCCTCATCAAATGCCTTTGTTGGAGCTGAGTGTATGGTCCTTAAGGACGAAGAGCTGTGCTTGGAGGGTGGCCAGGTAAACAACAGGGGAAAGGGCAGCCACAGTCCTCGGCATGCTGACCAGGAGAAAAACTGGGGAGAAAGTGGCATATTTCGCCAACTGCACTCTCAGTTATTTAGCCTGCAGCTGTAGCTGGGGAGAGGGAGAGCAGTATGTAGGGTGAATGCAAGCTCACATCCACTTCAGGTAACTCATTTTCTCATTACTGAGAAATGTAATGCACACGCTGACAGTGCCCTGCAGGCAAATATAGCACTGGTTTCAGGTCTTCCTGCTGGGTCTGGCAGTAGGAATTAGGGTCTTGGTTTGGTGTCTGTCCCCTGGATTGCTAGTACATGCAGGGTAGGGCTCACCACTTGCCATCTTCTCAGCCCCCCTTAGCCTATGGCTCTGCAGGTGCCTTGTGCCAAAACTCTGTCCGTTTCCTGGCACTGTGGAAAGCTGACCATAGAGTGGCTGTCTGCAGCCAGCTTGTCAGCATCTCATTGTGGCACAGCTTGGCTCCCTTACATGGCCACTCCAAGCCCAGAAGCTGCGAAGGTCAAGGGAAAACCCTGCTTCGCTTCCAGTCCTGGGCAGGGGTGACAGGTAAAATGAGTGAGGTAGGTTGGGACTGCAAGGGCCTGGGTGTGCAGAGAGGTGACAGCTGGTCAGCAGCTGCAGCACGGCTGAGGCCAGCACGGCAGCGGGGAGGCAGCTCAAGGCTGAGAGCAGACCAGTGTGACCAGCGCAAATGAAAGCGCAGCTGCAGTGGAGCTTACTCTGACAGGAGCTGCAGCTCTGGATGCGCTGCAGTCCAGCCACAGTCCCAGGAAGGATGGGTACCGCTGGGGCCAAGAGATGTAGGGTCCGGCTGCCACTGCCCCATGCAGCTTTGACAATGCTGGCACACATCTTCAGGCTGCTTCTCCCCCCTCCTCCCTGTGGTCTTTCTTCATGGCAAGTTCTCATCCCATTCATCTCCAAAGCAGGGCTTTTTGTCCCATGTGCTGATTATTTTTTTCCCAGCCTGGCCCCTTCTCCAGCAACAGCTGAAGTTGCAAGAGAGGAAAGCAGGGTCTTGCAGGCCAGCAGCAAACTTGCATTTGTCATCCCTGCAATGCCACCGTTGGCTAGAGTTGCTTCAAAATTTAGGCTCTGCTGACCTCTAGGGGACTGCTACAAACCCAAAAGCATAAAGGCTTCAAAGCATGCTTAGAACCCTTCACACGCTCTTAAGGACCCCTGTGGTGAGTATAATATAGCTGACACCCACTTCTGGGCCCTTTAGCACTACCAGAGGCTGTAAATAAAAACCTGGCTCCAACACTGCCTCTTCCATCGCACCATTATAGCAGCAATAACTTAAGAAAAGTGTACAAGCACAAAAATGTACCTTACAAGGTAAGGCTGTTGTGGAGAGGTATCACCTGCTATCAGACTGCCCCACATAATCGCTGCTTTTATTTCAGTGTGGAGAAGTACTTGGGAACTTGAGAGCTTGTGGCTTTCAGCCTCTCATGTATCAGTCTGTCTAATAAAAGGTATAAAAACCTTGTATTGGTGTCACAACTACAGCACTACTCAGTCAAAAGCATGGATGCATACACCTAGGCAGTGGAAATACAGTTAAATGTGCTTTTTTATGGCATTTCATCACTCACTAAACAAGTGGTTGAAGCAAGAACCTCGTCACAGAGAAGAAAGAACACGAAGACTTAGGTAAAGCAAGCATAAAATCTGATGTATTCTTTAAAACAGCACATGGGAGCTGCTGAGAGAGGTGACTGCATTTCCCAGATGACTCCACTTGAGGACAGCTGTGGCAGGAGACAAAGCATTAGGCAGCAGCCTACAGAGGCAACACAAACTGCACATCTCTAATGGATCTGTTCTCCTTGATACAAAGCCAAAACCTATCATAGCCCTGGAATATCCCCATTTCTTGACTTGGGGAAGCTGTGACATAACTCTGGAGAGCTGGAGTGTGGCCAGACCCAGACTAGGACAAAAGCTATGCACATGGCAGTGTCCCCAGTTGCAGCCACCTTGTGTGAGAGCTCCCCACCACAGCAGAGCAGCTCGTTGTCCCTGGGCTGAGGTCCTTATTAGCAGAGACCTGCTATCTAAACTGTCTTTAAGTTCACTCGACCTTCTGACACAGGAAGAAGTCCATCCAGCAGCCCTGAGTGGGCAGTGGGCTCCAAGTAGCTGAACACATGCTGGGACCATCACCTCTTCCACAAGAGCAGCTGTATCTGTAGCCAGAGCCCAACTGTTACAGTGGCTTCCACGTTATGCAAAGGTCTCTCAAGAGGTTGTGGGGTTTGTGTTGCTGGGACCATGCACCAACACGAGGGAGTCGGTCCTGGCAGGCAGTCCACCAGCTGCAGTAATAGACTCCAGACAGCCCTTAGGGCTTTGGACACACCACAGGGCACTTAATTGGCGTGATCCTACTCACTGCTCACGCCATGGAAAGTGCCAAAAATACAAGGCAAGTGCTAAGTTAAAGCACTTGCTCTTCCACGGGCTGGAAGATGTTCTTCAACCCACAGATGGGGAGGCTCATGACAAAAGGTAACGACTGACAGCATTCCTTCAACTAAATCAGAGTGAGAAGATGTCAAAGCATCAATTATAAGTGCAGTGTTTAAAGAGACGAGACAAATGAGTTGAACCGAACCACCAATTTTCATTTCAGCATCGTTACATGTCTCTTAATTAGAACAGATGTCTCTCTAATCTGTGCAAAACAGAAGAGGACCTGGGAGGTCTGAAATACTGGCTTCTCCACAAATATTACCACCAATCCCATCTTCTGACAGCAAATCCACCGCCTCAGACTGTGCCAAACCAAACCACCTGGCGGTTCTGGGTCCTGTCCTGCAAAGCAGGGTTTACTCTGCAGTGCCCAAAGATCAGATGAAATAATTTTCTCCTCCTTACACCTGCAAACACTGTGTTTATCCCACCACACACCAACATTGCCCAGGAAATGCAAGCCTGTCATTCCTTTTGCCACATGCATTGTAGCTATGCTTTAGCCCCTCAAAATCCCCGTTTAGTTGATTTTTCTCACAGAGAAGACTCCATCAGTCATCAGAGTTTGGCAAGCTCTTTAATGGCAAGCTCATGGTGTAATGACACTGCTGGATTTGATGCCTTGGTGGTGGGAGAGGAAGGAGGATCAGAAGAAAGGCAGGGCTCCGCTGAAGGCTTACACCTTTTAAAGCATCGAACAAAAGGGCAACATCTTTTGGTGACCCATTTCACAGCTCTGTAGTCCCAAAGACAGAGAGATCTTCCAGCCAGAAAAATGGTGGAAAGCACACCAAAGACAGCCTTTGCATGGCGTGGTGCAACATGATTTCTGCTTGACATGTTGAGGTCTGACTGGTCCCTGCATTAGTAAAGGAAAACTTGACAACAAAAAAATTTGCACTGACTGAAATCCAGAGCTGACATTTCTCCCACCACCCCCAAAGATGAAAGCAGACTTCCTTTACATACAGTGTTACCACAGATCTTTGCCTACATGAGCAACAGCATGTCAGTACAGAAAGGGAATTTCAAAGTTCAATGTATTTTACATTAAATCAGTGAGTTTTACTGTAGTCAGCATTTACTACTTCAAAGAAGTTTTTTTTCAGCAAACGAACACACTTTTTGTTAATCTGTATATTTATTTATGACCAAGCTCGTACTGACAGTGCAGTGCTACATGGCATTGTAAAAACTGGGGTTTGCAATAATGCAGATGCACCTTTAGGAGTTGTTTTTCTTTAAAAAAAAAAAAATCAGCGATGAGAAAAAAGTCAAACAGAGAATGTAAATGATAATTTGGCTCACTGAACGGGTGATAGTCGGTAAGAGCTTTCCTTTGTACATCTGCCACAGACATCAGATAACAACAAGTAAGTCTCAGAAGTCCTATCAAAACCTGAGGTGACAGGGTCTGCCCTAAGAGTCCCTCTTATTAGAGGTAAGGACCAAATTTAAGGAATCTATTTTAGCATCTCCCTTGGAAGTGACGTCCCTGAGCCCTCAGCTCTGTGGCAACTCTGCAGGGACCACCTCAAGACCAGCTTGCAATAGGGTTTAAGAGCTGCTGCCCTGAGTCACTCCTGCCTGGCTGTCATGCGAAGGCTTCCCAGCTGCAGAGACCGGCTGCCAGGGAGGTCCTGCCAGAAATGAAGAGATAAAACAAAGCACTTCCCTCTGCTCAGTGATTCACAGAAAGGGGCATCCAGCTAGAGCCCCTGAAGGGATCCTCCCCAATTTCTCATGTCCTGTGGCCAGCCCAAAACCAGCCAACACTGAGAAAGAGACCTGCAGTCTCAACCAGGCTCTCCAGCGATGAACAAACAGAGAGGTCTTTTTCTGGATGCCCAGCCTTGAAAGCCTCAATGGATCATGATTTTCAGAGAATGGATTATTTAGCTAAGCATTTCTCCCTGTGAAACCATCTTGGGTTTGGCACCTAAAATGACTGCTCTTATGTATAACCCCTGTGCAGCATAGACCACTCACAAGTACTCGAGGGATAACAGGCCTCCCATGCCACCTCATCCCCTTGTGAGAAGGTGCTGCCTGTGCAGAAAGGACAGCGTGGCTCAGTAACACACACTGCACTCAACTGCGGCTCTCACTGATGCACCTGGCTGCAAGCTGCGGGAGATGTGTTTCTCTCCCCCTTCCTCTGCTTCCCCTCTTCTGGGAGTGGGAATTTCTGACACCAGTGGTAAGGATGAACCTGAGGGAAGGATGGACACAGGGTAAGGATGGATAAAGTGGTAACCTCACCTCCTGCCACAGCTAAAGCTGACTGTGAGTAAACTAACCAAGGGTTAGCGCTGTGTCCCAGTGAAAGATCAGGAAACATGTTGAAAGAGGCTGGGAATATACCTTGTATGGCAGCTTTCCAAAGCAATGTCCACCATGTTATGGCCATCACTTTTACTGTCACAGTCTCAGTCCTCCTGCAGAGAGGGACAGGGCAGTTACCTGCAAAGCAATGTTGCCTGTTGTCCCCAGCCACCGTCTGGCACAGCACCCTCACACGGGACATGGGCACCAAGATGCAGCAGCTAACGTGCAGGTCACTGCCGCTGGAAAACTAACTGGCTATTCCCACCCAAAGTGGTATTCCCACAAGCATGCCACTTTCAAAGACACAGCACTATGCACAGAGGGAAACTGCCTAGAAAACAGCTCAGAGCTGGGCAGAAGATGGAGCTGAAGTCTGGTAGGGTTCAGGTTGTCATGCTCAGGGGTGCGCTATTTTCCACGTTTCTGCGAGGAAACAGTCTGCCTATTTTTTCTCCCATGAGCAAATCCTTTTAAGAGATATTACTGCACACCTAATAAAGCAGCTTCCTGCTCCCTGACTGCTGCTCCTACCTACTCACACAGTATCATAAATAATAATGTTGTAGAAGAGAGGAGAGGGCTTTTTAGTTTGCCTTTTCTTCATTGCTTCCTCTCTCAACCATCTCAATGCATTCATCTGGCAAGACACTAACAGAAAAATAAGCTCAAGGCCCTGGTAATGTCCAGAGCAGCTTTTTTATAAACTACATAGGTTCAATAAGCAGATACTTCGCAAGATGGTTTGGGCTGTCTCAGGAATCCCAGCACCTCTCCAAAAGGGGCCTTTCTCACTTTTGCCCCTGCTGCCCAAACCAGTTGTTACATTTCTGAAATCTGCTCTTCCCTCTGGCATCCCATGTATTTCTCATCCCCCAGCAGCACTCTGCTCACTGCACTTGTGCAACTCATATTCTGAAGCACCAGTTCTGCAAGAGGCTCTGCTCTGGTAAATTTGTATTTGGCTAGAGCATGAAGTACCTATGAGAGAAGGCTGAGGAAAAAGGGAGAATCTTCTGTGTCCTTTCACTAATGGTTTGCTTTGAGGATAGGCAATGATGATGCATACTTTTCACCTACAGATCTAAAAGCACTTTGTACACTGGTAGGAAAATACTACTGATGTTCCCTTTGACAAAAGGCTTAAGGTGTCACTCGCAAGGGAGTTACCCTGCTCCCACTGAATTTCATGGAGGCCTGGATGCATAACTGGAGGCCTGCCTTGAATTCCCAGCCACTATGATCCACCTGAAGCTCAGGGCAAGGCAGTGTCAGGAGCTCTGAACCCATGTCTTTTCACCAAAGTCCCTAGGCTTGCAAGCATTTATGCATATGTTCGCAAATCCTGTGTCTCAATCTAGCAGCCTAGCCACTGGGTCATGCTACTTGTGGTTACTTATTGAATGGCTACTAACCTCAGTATGTGGTGAGAGTGAGGGAAAAATAAAATACAAATAAAATATAAAAATACACTGTAATACAACTAAACCAGTTCCGCATCTCTTGCATCGTTTGGTAAGTATGGAATAAGTAAATGCTAATACAGATATGTATTTGGTCAAAGTAAGTGATCAATATTTTTTGGTAAAATATATTCTATATTAATGCTCATTCACATCTAATACACATGTAAATTAAATTTTCTACATATAAAATTCCAGTTTATTCTCGGTGCTGCCTGTCTATGCTTCAGTTTAGCAGCAAGGCTCAACACATTCGGCTCCCAGCAAAGTGAGAAGGGACAAGAGCGCTCAGCACTCTCCAGGACCAAGCCTCGCATATCCCCTGGAGTGCTCAGTCCTGCAGGTCCCCTTTGAACAAAATTTCGCTGGCTTCAGTGAGAATTGTGCAGGGGTGAATGCTGCAGGAGGGCCCCCCGCCTGTCCAGCACTTGCAGTCTGGTGTGGAAGTCACCCAAATGGCATATGGCATTCCAAAAAAAAGAGTGAATTAGTGAATACAGAAAATAATATATCTACATAATTTACAGCATTATGTTTGCTTGCAACCATATTAATGCTCAACCGTTCATTAATAATTCAATCAGTATGCAGGGAAAGGTAGCATACTGCAGTACATACTACAACCTCCCGTATGCAATTACAAGCACTGGATCTTACAGTCTTTCCTCGTTTCACAAATTCCTGCCTATTTCACTGCCACTCCAGAGCCCACTTCTCCATTGAGCCTGGTGGAATCAATCCTTCACAGCTCTCAGGCTGGTTCAGATTGCACCTGCACCTGTGCCACAGGCCCCTAACACCGTGCAAGGGGTGCAAGCTGCCTTTGGCTGTGGGTCCTCAGCTACCACCCACGTTCGCCTGCACCCTCCCCTCCGCTGTACAGCCACACGCTGAACCAGATGGTGGGACTGATCTGGCTGGAAAACTGCCTGTCTGTAAAAAGGCAGAGTTATTTCCCAGCCACAGGTCACAACGCAGCCGTGCCATGGGCTTGTGCAGGTGTGTGTTTGAGTGCATGCACGTGAGTGTCACTGCCAGCCACCTGCACCTAAGCAAAATAGGTACAAGTGGCTAGCAAACCTGAACAGGACTTTGCCTCCACCTTGTGCTACTGTAAATTATGTCTTGCATTACGTTACAGCGGAGGAAAGTCAGCCCCAAAAGATCTACCTGTATGAGCTGCAACCAAAGGATTGGATGCTATGAAGAGAAAGGTTCTCCAAAAGCAAGGTTCTGTTTTAAGGTTATGGCATTTGTTTTAGCTGGAGAATAAAGAAACAACTTAGGGACTTAAAGCAGGGATGGAAACCACTGGTCTTTCACTTTATTTTAGTAAGCAAAAAGCCTATTGCTGCTGTACAGTGTTATACAATGAACTGCCACGGTTCTCACGTCACTAGTCCATAGAAAATGTGCTGCGACTACCATGTTTATGCCTGCATGCTGAAAGAATGTACAAAGTTTCATTAAGCTCTGTTTCTCTTCCACTTTTTTTTGATTTTCTTAAATTTTGACTTTTACAGTGTTGCAGACACTTCTGTGCATACTCCAGTACCACACACCGTCCCGGTTATGGAAGGTCTTTGCCCCAGATTGGAAAATCAAGTGCGATGATGCATCTCTCAAGCCATCATCAGAAAAGTAAACCACCAAGAAAACTTGATCTCTTAAGTAACCTTGAAAAAAAAATCTTTAAAAAAAATCTATTGAAAAGGAGACATCACCAACAACAGGGTGTTTCTAGGAGTTGTCCAAGCATTTTTTCTTTGCTCAATTTTTGTTTCTATAAAGCTAATTCTGTATAAAAGGGCTTTTGAAGCATGTGACCTTCATTTCATGATTTTTAAAAAACTGGAAAGAAGGAGTAAATTTAGAAACATTTTGCTCAATTGTGGAAAAGAGTTGTATTACAACAGAATCCCCTTCTTGTATTTTCAGTACAAAAAGCAAGTAAATAGAGACCCCGCATCTTCACAGTCTGACACTAATCTGAGTCACTTAAATCTATGCAAAATAAGTATAAAATATGAGGGGTTGTCTTCTCCTTTATATCAAGACACGACCAAACCCCTCTGGGGAGCAAGTCCCCAGCTAAGTAAAACCTCACTAGTTTTTATATCAGCCAAAGTAGTAGTATTTTAGTTCCCCTCCAAAGAGGTGTAAATGTCCAGACTAGCTCAAAGGCCCAGGGATAGGAACAGGTCCAGCATAATTTTAAGAGCCAGGTGCTGGTTTACACCCTTATGGCTTCAAAGTTAAGTTGCACTTCAATTCATGATGCCACAAGGTTTGAGTAGTAATTTAGCAGTCTATTAAAAACAGCGAAGCTTAAAGTTGGTGTCATGCAGAAGTGGGATAGGCCATGGCTATTTTTTAATTGATTTGTACAAAAGCAGCATTCAGCTTTTGATCAAATGTTGTCAGAGAATCAAATGGTGTTGGAGTACCAGGGCTGGTTATAACATGTACTGCTGATAGTAATTACACCCAGTTATTAATCCAGCACTTGTAATCTCAGGTGTCAGTAAAACAACATAAATATGTCTGACACGAATACTCCCCTGGATTTCCCACTTCCCATTATTTTTGTTAAGCCTTCATGTGCACTTCTGCAGTACCGACCACTGTTAAACTAGTGTTTTTCAGGAGAAATCTCTCCAAGTTTGGTACTTTGTCAAAAAAAACATAGCTGTTGAACTAAAAAGAAAAGCACAGGTCACGTTTGCTCTCTGCGCTGGTTTCTTCGGAAAGGTCACTGGTGAGGACTCGGCACTCTCACCACACGCCTCCTACATTCTCAGTACTCTACATTCATGTCAGCGAACGCTACTCTCGAACACAAATCAAAGAGACAAGTCAGTGACAAAACTACCTCTAGACTGATAATGGCAGAATGCTACCAAGACAACTCCATAGAAAACCCACTGAAGCAGGAGCAAAATTCAGGTCACTTCTTAGCAAAGCTCATCACAGATTATTATTATTAATAATTTTTTTTAAAACCCTTTTGTAAAACTTTTATCCTAAGAGCCAGATATCCCCATGTGATGTGCTCATTCGAACAGGTTAATGTGGGACCACCTGACCCCACCTGGTACCAAAGGCTTCCGAATTTTTTTAGCTTCTCAGAGAATCACTGCTGACTGACACCCATCTGTTGGTGATCGGCTTCTGGTTCCTCTTCTTCAACATCTGCGTTATATTCTTCAAATGCATCATCATCAACATCTGGAAGCCCGAGTAACTACAAAGAAGAGAAAATACTGTGTAATAGAGAATTACCCACTCATGCAGTTTCGCTGCAAATCTTCCAGGTGCCACTCCTGAAAACCACAAACCCTGGAACGCAGGGTAATGTTCTCCACTCTCCTTCTCTCCTTCCTGTGACAGAGAAAGATTTGAAAATGCATCCTCACACCAAATTGAGTGCTCAGAGACTGGAAGATAAATAAAACCATAGCAAAGCACTTGCAAAAAGCTTCACCTTCTTCCCCGAGGTCGTATCACGAATTGTTGAGTGTTTAGACTTGGCAGTGGTTTAACTTCACAAACAACCACAATAATACTGTAGCAGTAGTTATCTCTGTTTATGATTATGTTTGGCAACCCTATAAAATCCAGAGAAGAAATCATCCTCATGCAGAGCTGGCTAGTATGGAGTAGGCAAGGAGTCCCTAGAAACCTTAAGATCCCACCATGCTAAGTGCTTCTCTTGAACCCTTCACTGCATCACACCAGACAAAGTCTTGCACACTGGGTGAAGCCCTCACAGTGAGAAATACTGTGTATTCAACCCAAAATTGTCTGAGTCCCTTTCAATTTTTGAAAATTAGATTTGGGCTTGTGAAGAACTGCCAGCCCATCTTCCCTGGACAATGTCTGAATGCCTCCACCTGATGGCTCCTATCACTGAAAGAGCACTTGCTTGCTACAGAAAAAGGAGCGAACAACGACGTCTGAACTCTTCCCTCTTCTCCAAAAGGCTGCCAAGCCAACAGAAGTCAGGAAGACAGGTAAACCAAGTAACAGTCAAAATAATGCATCTGTTGTGGAAATCTCATATTAGAATCCTACACTAGCAGCTATTAATAGCCATAAAGCAAAATCCTGTGCCAGGCATTATTGGGAATACCATGTATTTAGCTTGCCAGGGCTGGAAGAGCAGCACAGCTGTATGTAACACCCTGTTTGGAGAGTGATGCAGCTGTTAGCTCTTAGAAGAGGCAAAGCCCAGAAAAATCGGGAGGAGGGTAACACTTGCTAGTTGGTTATGAACAGAAGGCTGTGACAAGGCAGATTTTTAGGGACCTAAACCCATTTAGTCCGTGATCAACATTCAAAATTATTCACAAACACAATGCACAGCCTCTAGGTCCAACGAAGTTCTGCTACTGGGAGAAAAACAGTGGTTTAGTTGCAGGGTTTCTTCGGCAGTGAAGTTGCAAGAGAATTTGCTGACTAAACCCCCTCCTTCACATTTTAAAAATACTTACAAGAGACCCCAAGCTGAAAAAGTTCTTGTATTCTGAGCAGAAAAAGTAAATATTCCTATGCATATATATTTTTCAAAACAAATGCTTAAGTGAACATGAAACTACTTGGTTTGTCTTCAGGATGCAGGGGTTTTGTTTCATGTTGAAGCTAAAACTAAAATACTCAGTTTTTAAAATGCAAAAGCAAAGCCCCTAGACTTTCTTATCCACCAGTATTATTTTCACTAAACTGATTTGGTGTATTCAAATTAAATGTGAGTGTTGTACTGCTCCCTCTATATCAGCCAGCAAGAAAGAGCTTTGATCACTTTCTTTTTGCCCAGGTCTGGTTATAATTCCTCCTTGATTTGCAGAGAAATGAGCCATGTGAGTCTTCATTTTATGGCACACAGTAAGCCTTTCCCATGCAAAATTAGCGCAGAAAACGCAACATACATCACAAGAACCGCAAAGATGCACACAATCCCAAAGGATGGAGAGCACGTCCTCCTTTTCACACATCCCCTCTCCCTTCACCCTCGGGAAACCCAGCTCTCCTCTCCCTAAGCACAGCGTAAATCACCGTGATGCTGCAGACGTTAGCGGTTTTATGGAGTGTAAAGAAGGATGAGCATGGGACAGGATGGGACACTCCTCCACGAGACAGTTTTGCTCTCTCATGGACACTTTAGGATCTTCCAAGGCATGAAGGACCTCAGCCACACAGGTCCTGCTTTTAAGGGTCGCATCTCAATGCCTTCCCCAGGACTACAGTCCCTCACCGCTGTTAACCCCATACATCTCTCTGGACTGCATGACAAATCAGCCAACATCTTGACCCCAAGGAGAGAGGATCGGGGTCCGAAGTGCAAGGAGCTCTACAATCATTGGGCCAAAGCAGAAGGACAGAGTATAAAAGATGAGGACAAAATAAGATGATGGAAGTGGCCTCAGCTGATCCTAGATCGACTCCCACTTTGTCTTATTTCAAACACACTAGTTTCTGCTTCTAATCTGCTTCATATATTAAAATATCAGCTATGTGGCAGACTGGAAAGGACTTTAATGGAGAGTGAAAACAAAGAGAAAAGAGGAAAAACAGTAAAGGGGTGTAGAAAGAGAGAGCTGATCCATCAGCCAAACAGCTGAGGGGAACAAAACTGCCAGGTGGGGACATGTGGAGAGAAAGAGGACAGAAGGGGGTGAGGAGGGAGGGAGGGAGGGAAACAACCAGTGGCAGCACTGCCCAAACTACACCTATTTATTCCTACTGGCCAAAGTACCCATCTGGAGGTAAAGGAGAGGTCACTGGGATGTGTATGAATTCAATGAATATGGGATAAATAGCTTTTAGACTGCAGACTCCCCAGTTTGGATGTAGGCTTTTTAGGCTGAAGGTGAGCAAAATGAGGGAGCCCTGGAATTTGCTGCTGAACTGCACGACTCATGTTTTGGTTCTCTGTGAACTCTGCCACTTGGTGTGATGTCCCTCAGGCATTTTTTTTAAATTTGTCTTTTTTTCTTTGTCTTTGTCTTTCAAAGTGCCCTGATTTAATACAAATAATCTAGTAGTTTTTAAGTCACAAAAGCAGAGTGACATTGCCTCCTACCAAAAGCTAACGTACAAGCACACTGAAAAATAAACCAAGTACAAGACTGAACTTCAATGGTTCACATGATGCTATGCTACAGATAACACAGTTCAATTGAATCCTGATGTGAAGGGCAGTCTCCAGGCAGATGTCCTTACAAGTACCAGCATGGACACCTCTAGCACCAGAGAGAGAAGGACATCAGAGAAGCTGGGAGGCTCTGAGGCAAATAATGGTATTTCAGCCCAGTGCTATTGATGCTTCATGTACTTGCATGGTGTCTGGCACTTTTGGATGCCCCCTGAGTAAGTGATAAGGCAAATCATAGAGTTTTGTGGAAACTGACCCAGGAAAGCAGCAATGGGCAGAGACCACACGCCCAACTCCACCTTAAGCAAACAAACAGCTTGACCTTTTCTAGAGGAGGATTTAGAGATCCTGCTCTTTAGCTGTCAAGGGTTAACCAACACTTTAAAAATCTCATCTTAATAAATATCCTGCCCTGACACTGTGTTTATGCTCATAAAACAAAGGAGAGAGATGCTTGAGAGCAGCAAGGGCTGATGAGTAGCCCCCAGACCACTCTCATTGCCTCCTGTGCCCAGGGAAGAGTGGTGAGCAGAGGGAAATCTCTCTCACCAACAGAGATGCCAACTGCTGGGCATCTCTGCTCTCACTGCCTCCAAAACACAGGGCCCAGTGGTGGCCGCAGCCAGTCCCTTCCCAGGTCACAGCCCCAGGGTAAGCCTGCACAGACAGGGCTGAACTGTTATCACAAACATGCAGAGATGAGTTACTGGGCAAAGATTGGGCTAGGAGCCCTTAGTTAAGGGAGGGCAGGTGCTTGTGCCATGCAGAGGGGCATGGAGAGCTGCAGATGCTCTGCCAGTGTCTCCTCCTAAACATTTCCCTTTGAAGGACCCCAACAAAGACTTTCAAAACTGTCTAATAATCTTGGGTGTCCAGCTGCAAATACTGAAGCAGGAAGGATTTTCAAAAGGCACTTACCAAGCACACGCTAAAAACCTGGCCTCTCCTCAGCGTCTCCATCTTGACTAGCCAGGACCGTCAGACACTTCAGAAGAGTCTGACCTTCAGCAGCAGTTTTTCCTAAACTGCCATTTTTCAAACTGAAATTTGACAGACTGGTTTCTGAGAGCAGACTTGGTGGACAAAAAAATGCCCTGCAAATGCAGTTACCTCCAAGATGACAGCAAAATAGTCTGATTAGCAACACAAGTCCAGCAGAGAAAGGATGGGGGAGAGCATGAAGGAACGCCAAGGAAATAATTTCCCAGTACTGATGAAAAGTGGGTTTGTTCTGGCAAAGGCCTGACAGTGCAAAGTAATTGTTTCTGTACATCTACTGTAACACCCTTCACTTTTAAAAATCTATCCTACTGTATGTGTGCTATTTTTAATAATTACAATAAGGGAAAAATGTCAACACATTCCTTATTAGACTTACCTACACACAACCATACCTCAAATGATAAACCTTGTTTTGTTACAGTGATGCAAATCTCTCAATACCAGGTCAAAGAAGAATCTGAAAAACTTAATCTTTGTGATATCTCCAAGAGAAAATGAAGAGGTACTTGATTACAGTCTGCAAGAGGTCTCTAACAGTCGAGGATACTGGTTTTGAGCAGACAAAAGCATAATGAAAGTCAACAGCTATGAAGCAAAGCTAGAAAAATTTAAATTGTAAGTAAAAGATTTCTTCATAGGAGCATAACTAATGATGAGAAGAAAAAGTGCCCAGTAGTGCTGTATTCTTTAAGACACCTGAAGACTTTACATCAAGACTGGGTGTCTTCGTAAAAGACACGCTCCAACTCAACCACAATTTATGTGCTCAGTCATGGGAATCATGGCATGAAATGTGATGTATTAACGAAGGGCCCAGACTATATGAGCATAATAGTTTCCCTTGACTTGAACCTTTTTACTCTGAAGAGTAACTTAACTTGGTTTGACTGAAGCCAATTTCTCAGTAACTGAAGCTATGCTGAAATATATGTGATTTAAATTAAATCAGTGATCTGTACCAATTTAATTAAGTCTTTTTGAAGTCCTCTTTAGTTAAACCAATGGCAGTTTCTCCTCAAAGACACAGCTTTTTCTGAGCAGGAGAAAACAGCTATGAAGATCCAAGAGCCAAATATTTTTCTGGGAAACATATTTATATTTTTGTATGTTTTCACAATTACAAGCAGCTGTACTGACGGATCAGATTTCCAGTCCTTTCTAAGAAAAGTGTGCATCTGTTCTATTTATTTCCAGTCTCTCAAAGGATTCTTTAAAATGATGCTCTTTTATGTCACCAGCTGTGGTGGTCTGTGGCAAGGCAATGCAAGGGTGTAACACAGGGAAGGCCACTGTTTTCATACCGGCGCTCCAGGCCCTCCCTTTTGCTCTAAATACTTGGGATACATTTGCAGTCTTCTCAATTAGTCAGACAGAAAAAGAGAGGAGGGAAAAAGGTCTACATTTTCAGCTGAGTATAAAAATGGCCATTGGTCAGCTTTCCCATGGACATTGCGGGAGCATGAGTCTGGCAACAAACCTCCCCTCTGCTTTGCACCAGCCCCTTACTCAGGCCCAGGCACTAACAGGAGAGGCTGCAGAAAGGGAGGATTTGGCAAAAATGAAGGACAATGGCCAGCCTAGATCACCTCACTCTGATGAAACCCAGGCTTTGACCCAAATCTTAAACAAGGACAGAGAAAGTTGAGTAGCAGCAAAACAGAAAATTACAACACGTCCTCTCCCCACAAAAGCCAGCTTCTGCTCCAACTTCTTCTCAAGAAGAGAACAAACCGGCATTTGCACACGCCAAGTGGCAACCACCCTAACAGCAAAATCTGAACCACCTGGGGGAAAAAAAAAGCCAACCCTAAAATAAAACAAACCATTCTGAGAAGAAACCCTATTTCCAGGTTTCCAAAAGTTTACTCTTACTACTCAGATACTTGCAAAACTCCCCAATTCCAGTGCCAGGAAATAACTCTGCCACAAAGTCCTGCGGCGCTAACTCTCATCCTGTTCCTCAGAGTCAGCACTGCATCAGCAGGACAGGAGCCCTTGTGCAGCTGGAGAGCCAGTGCCACCGGCTGCCACACCAGTTGGCCTCCCACCCCAGGCAGGAATCTCATCCTCTTAAACACAGAGATGGAAATAAAAAGGCAGCTGGCTTCTAAAAAAACAATTTTCAGTTGCCTGACAGTAGTTTATGTGCTAACACCCCTGCGCTCAGGCAGCTGACTGGATATGTAAGTCCCTGCAGAAGAAAAACCACCTTGCTCCATACAGTGCTTTCCTATTAAAAGTCACAGGTAACTGTCAATGCTTAGAAGTAAAAAAGAGGCACTTACGGGTCTGAAGGACTTGAAGACTTTTTCCAATATTTCATGGAGTGTCTTTTTCCCACAGGAGGAGATGTAATCCTGTGCAAGCTGCAGAAAAGGTAAGCAGTCCTCACTTTCGCTCCACACATGCTGAAAGCCAACAGCAACACAAGAAAGAAAAGGCATTAGTAAGAATTCACACTGGCCTTTCCACATGATTTTGTAAGGTGACATGTAAACATCTCCCGGAGTACACCAGGTCTCCTGCAGTTCGGACCTGTGCTAGGAACAGGCAGTGCAGGCTGTTTCAGAAGCCACACTTCTGAGAAGGAACCTTGATTTTATTAACACGATGCATCAGAAAGCAGGGAAATCGATCCAGAAGAAAAAACGCCTTATGACTGCACCAGCAATGAAGGGTACACACGCCTTGCACACATGCATTTTACTAGTAAAGGTGTTTTTGTTTGACATCAGCCAGTCACGCTGGGTCTTCCCTTCTTCTTCATCATCTGCTGCAATGAAGCCCTCAGGAAGAGCTAAAGCATCTCTTTGTCTTCCTGTCATTAGTGCAAGTGTGATGCGACCCTGGAGGTGGAACTTGATGTGCAATTCCCTCGAGGATGCAGAAAAAAAGATGCAAAATATACCTGCAGGTTAGACAGAGAGCCAAGGAGAGACATTTGGGCACTCACAACATCCTGACACTTCATGCCTCCCTCCCTGTTTTCAGGTTTACTTCTCCTAGACCCGAATCATCTCTTCCCAGGCAAGGCACATTTAAACCCATTTGTGATATTCCTCTCATCTTGCTCTTGCTTCAGAAATGTTGGTTCCTCAGCATCAATCTGTGAGGCCTCTCCCAAAACTGATGCTTATTTTGCTGCTATGATTGTTTGAAACAGAGCTGGTGAGTGATGGTGGAAGCACTCAGGCAACAATGCTCCTTGCACACAAGGGCTGCACTCAGCACAAGCTAATGCATACTTGTAAAGATTTTCTTTCTGAAGACTTTGTGCATGGGACAGTCTTAGGCAGTCTGCTAAACAGAGAAGCAAGCGTTAATACTGCAAAACTGGTTTGAGGCTCTTACACCTCTATTTTTGCACAGCAGCTCTTTTCCCCAAAGTGTCGTGCAGCTTTTTACTGTGCTATAAACAGTAGGTTATGCTTAAACAAGGGAAGAGGAGGGTCTCTCTGAAGCTTAACTAACATTCAGGGAAAGAGTAAGAATGACAGAAGTTTCAATCCCTAACACAAGGCTCGCATGTTGCCTTCCTGTTCAGTGGTGAGTACCTGCCAGGGATGCAGTTTTACACTTACCGAAGGAGAACACTACTTAACATCACCTAAGCTGCATCTTTCAGACAAAAACTGTAACTGCCTTCCTATGAGCCTCGCTTGACCTACATTTTCTTTGCTGCTTGTTGCATTTTACAAGCATAAACACAGTGAAATGTTTTGTTATGAAAAGAGCCTTGCCTTGCTGTGTAGGTTCTGCTCTTTCCATAAAATCACAGTCATCTCTTAACCAAGTTCTTTACAGTCTTGCCAACTCTCAAAGGCACATACCACAAGTCTCATGATATTTCATGCCATCTTAGAGTCATGGGCCTTGCAGTTCTATAAATAGACAACCAAATCTCAGTTTCTGTTTACAAAAAAAAAGTCTGCACTTTGTGATTTCTATGGCCTAAAAAGGCAGAAGGCACATGAACTCAAATGAACCCTCTTTAAAACATCAAATGAACACTTTCAAATCACAACATTTTAAGAATAGCCTCAAGATTTTGGAGGTCTGTCTCACAATTTCTTAATACTTGGGGTTACCAATAACCATTCAGTTACTTCTAATCTTTGCATCAAACTTCGGAGCTGGATGTTGCAGCTTGGCAATTCACGGCTCATGCTAAACCTGTTGCAATTGTTTATATATATGAAATGATTATGGCTGCTAACATCCTGATTCTTGTTTAAATTGTGGCTTCTTTTGACTACCAGAGCTGTTATACACAGGAGCTTATAAAAACGAAAATCAGGCCCTGCTCTTTTATAAATAACAGCTAGTTCGTTCCCCAGGGAAAGTTAACCCCATGTGTTTACAGTGTCTTTTCAAGCTGCACCACATTTTAGACTCCACTGTGAATTTGTCAGCAGTAGATGATCTAGCAGGAGGGGAAAACCTAAGTGAGTAACTTGATCACTGAGCCTTTGAAGAGACATTTTTGCACAGCATCGTAAGGCAATAAGTAAGGCTTCCAACAATATCCACATCTGCAGAAGATTTAAAACTTTGGCTGTAGCAACAAACGCGCTGTGAAAGGTCTCACGTGCCATTAGTGCTGGTATCTCATTCAGAAACAGCTTGATTTCATCTTTCCCCCCAAGAAAACTCTACTGTAATAAGACCAGGGTTATAACACCTCTAAGTTCAGCTGCATCCACTGCTCTCTGTGGACGTTCAGTGCTGCACCGCAGCAGTGCGGGAACTGAGTCTCACCACTGACTCATGCATCTCCAGAGGAACATGCAAAAGGAATTTTGGCCCCTCAAAATAAAAACAAAGGTAATTTGAGGATTCGGCTCATGCTTATAAAGTTAGAGCAGTCAAGTGAGGCTGCACATAGAGATGCTTTTAGTGAAAAAACCCCCGAAGCCTGAGGATCTCTGCAGTGGGAGAAGTGGGCTGCTGGCAAACCAGTGGACCATAGTGCTTGGCTGTGGCTGCGCAATTAAAAAAATATTAACCTCATCATCTGAGTATGTGTTTTCCAAGCTTGCCCAGTTTTGCTCATAGCTGCTTTTGTGTCACTACAAAAGCACACAGCCACTAATTTCCACCTCAGCTGACCTAGGATCATGGTTGAATTATTTAGTTCATCTACACGCAGCACATAGCCGAGGCAATTCATAGGGCTGCATCTGGAGGGGTTTGCTTTCCCTCATGCCTTTAGAGGATTCAGCGTTGCTGGATGACAGCCACTTGCTGTACCACCTTTTTCTAACCAGCCCACCTGTTGAACATGGCAGCAAAACTTTTTCTTTGTGGGGGTAACTTGACTTGCAGAAAATACTCAGACTGACTGTATATTTTACAGGAAATCTTACATCAAGGTGGCATCGTATTTTAATTTGCTTTATCAGTTACTTTGAATACCAGCAATAAATAACATGGTGACAAAACAAATGACAGACTATAAGGAATAGCATCGTAATCCTCACCCTCATTGGTTATGCCTATACAAGTCCAATTAATTTTTTGAGAACATCACAAGCCTCAGGAGCTGAATTATACCTACTTCAGCTATCTAAAATGCTGATTCAGAGAGTTTTTAGTGTCCAGCTGGTACTGAAAATGCCAACAGGCATCTAGATGCATCTTCTGCATCCCTAGCATGTTAAAATCTAGCCCAAAGATACCTTTCCAGGAAATTAAATTTGCATGACTGCTGTGATCTGGAATCTCTGATTTTATACAAAATTCAGAGTTGTTCTCCCTCAGATTGCATCTTGGCAACCTTTCCATGTTTTTCTCCTCCTCCCTTTTAAGTTCATCATGCTCATCATTTCCTCCTTACAAGTGGGTTATCATGGACTTCTCTGGCACCTCCTACATAGCTTTTTAAGTTGCATTATTATGAAATGAAGACCTAAAGAAAGAGAACAAGAATACCAGGCACCAGATGCTTATTAAATGTGAGGCTTCTTTATAAGAGTTGCCGGGTGCAAAAAGGCTGTAAAGTGTGCCACTGTGAATTCTGTTTATATTTACTCACTCTCGCACTCCATTGTGTTACTGGAGCCACGCAACAAGGCTCAAGTGCAAATAAGAATCAGTCCCCTGGCTTGTATTAAGTCTCCTTAAAGTAAACTTTAGCCTGTAATTTCACGTAGAAAGGAAACATATCTTCTGGAACATAAAAAAAGAACATGATTGCAGAAACCAAGATAGCCAAAGTGGGAGCAGAAAGGAAGCTCCAACAGTGCACTAGGAGCAGAAAACACTGGTGAATCAGCTCATTAGTGGTTCTTAATCGCATTAAAGAGACACCATCAACAGAAAAATAATGAAGAATGACACCTATCTGCCTGTCTTAAAAGTATTATTACTACAAAAAGTGCTTCAAGTAAATATGCCAAAAAAAAGACAGAAGAAAACACTGCCTCTAGTTTTCCACTGTTTACATTCTCTATTTGACAACAGTTGGCCCTTTTGCTCTGCTTTACTAGTGGCAGCTTTGGGCCGGGAGTCCTTCTCACAGCAACCCTGGAATGAAAGTATTTGCCAAAAAAAGAAAAAAAAAAAAAAAAGAAAAAAAAAAAGGAAAATGTGGTTACAAACCCACAAAAATTGGCCAGTGTTGGAAGCATGGGAATAGGGACTGAATCAGCTTAAGCTTTTTTTTTTATAAAGTTCTCTAGATTTTGTTTTGAAAGAGCAACATATAAAGGAAGAATACAAGTCTAAGAAAAATAACGAGCTTTCTTTGCAATTTCTTATGTTAGCATCCAATCACAGCTTCAGCCTAGTCCTGCATTAGATTCATACACAACCCTGGTTAAGAGGCCAGCCGGCACGGCCCTTTCTGGGCACAGACATCTCTAGAAGGGAACACGCCTCGAGGTTTGACAGGCACCCGATGGGAGACGGGTGTGCAGGGCTAGTCCCTCCCGTGGACTGGGAGAATACACAACCAGAGATGCTCCACTGCCACAGCTGGGACTGCAGCTGAAGGTCTTGTGTATCCCTGGACAGATGCATAACTGAACTCCAGATAACTTCTTTCATAATTCAGCACGTCCACCTGCCCGACACAACAAATAAACGTCCTGCTCCCTGAGGTCTGCGGTCTTGGAGAAGTCACTTGGCTGCTCTTTGTTTCCATGAACCCGTCTGTCGAAGGGGTTCATACTGCACTTACCTGTTGGGAAGGGAATTAATGAACATTTGTCAAGCAGGTCGAGGGATGAAAGTTGCTCCAGGAAGGGACGAACCTGCAACATTCCTACAGTAATGTACTGTGCTAGGAGCTATTTTTTAAAAGAATAAAATAAAATCCTTTCATTACAGTTAGCTGGAGCTTTGCAGGCTACAAACCCCGTGGCGAGGTGCTGCTGTTCGGTTACTCTTCTTGCACTTCTGCTCACCACCGGGAGGGTTTGGGGGAGGGGTACAACCCATACCCCTACACCCTCCCCCCGCGTCCCAAAGCCAGGGACCTTTTACCGGCGCCCTTTCTGCACAAACTTGCCGCTGAACTCGGCGAGGGGCGGGGGGGGGACG